CTTTTTGGAGTAACCAATTACTAGTGATGAAACTGAATCAGTTAATCAAAAAACTCCTAACAAACAAAAGTCCAGGACTAGAAAGCTTCACAGGTGAATTCTACCAAATATTTCAAGAATTGTTAATACCTATTCTTCTCAAACTACTCCAAAAAACTGAAGAAGGAATGCTTCTACTCCAAACTCATTCTACAAGGCCAACATTACCCTGATACCAAAACCATACAAAAACACTACCAAAAAAATCACAGGCCAATATCCCTGATGAACATAGATGTAAAAATCCTCAACTAAATATTAACAAACCGAATTCAGCAATACATTAAAAGGATCATACACATGATCAAGTGGGATTTATTCTGGGAATGCAAGGTTCTTTCAATATCCACAAATCATTTAATGTGATGTACCACATACAAAACAAAGGATGAAAATCATAAGAACATCTCGATAGATGCAGAAAAAGCATTTGCTTAAATTCAACATTCACTTTTGATAAAGACTGTCAACAAAGTGAGTACAGAGGGAATATACTACAACATAATAGAGGCCACGTATATGACAAACCCACAGCTAACACCATACTCAATGGTGAAAGGCTGAAGGCTTTTCCTCTCAGATCAGGAACAAGTCTGCCCACTTATGCCATTTGGATTCAACATAGTATTGGAAGTCCTAGTCACAACCATTAGGAAAGAAAAAGAAATAAAAGGCATCCAAATTGGACAGGAAGAAGTAAAACTGTTGCTATTTGCAGCTGACATACTATGTATAAAAAAACCCTAAAGCTTCCACCAAAAAACTATTAGAATAAATGAATTCAGTAAAGTTGCAGGATACAAAATCAATATACAGAAATCAGTTGCATTTCTATACACTAATAATGAACTCTCAGAAACAGAAATTAACAATTCCATTTACCATTACATCAAGAAGAATAAAGTACCTAGGAATAAATTTAATCAAGGAGGTGAAAGACCTGTAATCTCAAAATTGTAAGACACTGATGAAAGAAACTGAAGATGACACAAATAAATAAATTTATACCATGTTCACAGACTGGAAGAATTAATATTGTCAAAACATCCATACTACCCAAAGCAATCTATAGATTCAGTGCAATCCCTATCAAAATACCAATGGCGGGTGCCTGGGTGGCTCAGTCGTTAAGCGTCTGCCTTCGGCTCAGGTCATGGTCCTAGGGTTCTGGGATCGAGCCCCGCATCTGGCTCCCTGCTCCGTGGGAAGCCTGCTTCTCCCTCTCCCACTCCCCCTGCTTGTGTTCCCTCTCTCACTGTATCTCTCTCTGTCAAATAAATAAAATCTTTTAAAAAAAAAATACCAATGGCATTTTTCACATAACTAGAACAAATAATCCTAAAATCTGTATGGAACCACAAACAAACAAAAACAAAAAACAAATAGCCAAAGCAATCTTGACAAAGAACAAAGCTGGAGGTAATCATGCTCCCAAATCTCAAAGTACACTACAAAGTACAGTAATCAAAAACAGACAAATAGATCAACAGAACACAACAGAAAGCCCAGAAATAAACCCAGGGTTACATGGTCAATTAATTTACAACAAAGGAGGCAAGAATGGGGAAAAGACAGTCTCTTCAATAAGTGATGTTGAGAAAGCTGGACAGCTACATGAAAAAGAATGAAACTGGGACACTTTCTTATTCCATATACAAAAATAAACTTAAAACGGATTAAAAACTTAAGTATAAGACCTGAAACCATAACACTCTTAAAAACATAGGCAGTAAGTTATGTCTTTGACGTAAGTATTAACGATATTGTTTTTGGATTTGTTTCCTTAGGCAAGAACAACAAAAGCAAACATTAACAAATGGGCCAGGGCGCCTGGGTGGCTCAGTCATTAAGCATCTGCCTTCAGCTCAGGTCATGATCCCAGGGTTCTGGGATCCAGCCCCGCATCAGGCTCCCTGCTTGGCGGGAAGCCTGCTTCCCCTCTCCCATTCCCCCTGCTTGTGTTCCCTCTCTCACTGTCTCTCTCTGTCAAATAAATAAATAAAATCTTTAAAAACAAAACAAAAAAAACAAATGGGCCTACAACAAAATAAAAAGCTTTTGCACAGTGAAGGAAGCCATCAACAAAACAAAAAGGAAACCTACTGAATGGGAGAAGATATTTGCAAATTCTACCCCAATAAGGGGTTAACATCCAAAATACATAAAAAACTCATACAACTCAATATCAAACAATACGATTAAAAAATGAGAACACCTGGAGCGCCTGGGTGGCTCAGTTGGTTAAGCGACTGCCTTCGGCTCAGGTCATGATCCTGGAGTCCCGGGATCGAGTCCCACATTGGGCTCCCTGCTCAGCAGGGAGTCTGCTTCTCCCTCTGACCCTCCTCCCTCTCATGCTGTCTCTCATTCTCTAATAAATAAATAAAATCTTAAAAAAAAAAAAATGAGAACACCTGAATAGACTTTTTTCCAAAGAAAACATACAAGAGAAGCAACAGGCACATGAAAAGATGCTCAACATCACTAATCACCAGGGAAGTGCAAATCAAACCCACAATGAGAGGTCACCTCACACCTGTCAGAATGGCTAAAATCAAAAAGACAAGAAATTACAAGTGTTGGCAAGGATGTGGAGAAAAGGGAACTCTCATGCACTGTTGGTGGGAATGTAAATTGATGCAGCCACTGTGGGAAACAGTATGAAGATTCCTCAAAAAGTTAAAAATAGAAATATCATACAATCCAGCAATTCCACTTCTTGGTATTTGCCGAAGAAAATGAAAAAAAACTAATTGGAAAAGACATATATAATCCTATGTGCATTGCAGCATTATTTACAATAGCTAAGATATGGAAGCAACCTAATGTCCATCATAGTTGAATTCATAAAGAAGATGTGGTTTATACATATATAATGGAATACGACTCAGACATAAGAATGAAATCTTGCCATTTGTGACAAATATGGATGGATCTAGAGGGTGTTATGCTAAGTGAAATAAGTAACAAAACAGAAAGAGATTCATAGGTACAGAGGGTTGCCAGAGGAAACAGGGGTGGGAGGGATGGAGGAAACACGTGAAGGAAATGAAGAGGTACAATCTTCCAGTTATAAAGTAAGTAAGAAAAGGGATGTAATAGGGAATATAGTCAATAATATTGTAACAATCTTGTATGGTGATGTCACCAGCTAGACCCCAAGACCTGACCTTTACTACCCACCTCCTTGTACCCACCAACCTTGGTCCTGCATTTTCCTTAAGCTCTTCTTTCCAGCTTATGTCTTAACTCAGGCAAAAGACCCTGTGGGCATAACATCCCATGATGGAAACGGAAACTACCCCTCAAGCAATAATGACTGCCCAGAGGAAGAGCTCGAGTGGCCCTAAACCCCTGACTCAGGCTTGTACAGATGGACCATGGAGTGACCTCTGGAATAACCAACAATTACCTTTATCTCATTATAATACTAATGTAATACCAAGGAGGAGCACAAACCTCATTTACAGAACAACCCATTCACCCTTCCTGGGGGAGTCCCAGCTTTGAAAGTTATTCCCAGGATCTCCTTATTTGATGCAAATAAAGCTTCCTTTGTGGGACAACTCACCTGGGTGTAGTTTCTATCTGACTCACCAAGGAGCAAACTCCTGTTGGTTCTGTTACAGTAACAGATGTTTACTACATATAGTCAATAATACTGTAACAACTTTGTGGTGATAGATGTTAGATTTATTGTGATCATTTCATAAATAATGTATATAAACTTCATATAAATACTGACTCAATGTTACACCTGAAACTAATACAATATTATATGTTAATTATTCCTCAATAAAAAAGAAGACACAAGTTTATCAGATCACGCAGGCAACTTAACAGCAGGAGGAAAGACGTTAACTGTGCTAAGCAAAATCAGCACTAACTGTCCTTTATGTTTACCACCCAAATCCCGAAGTTGCTCAAACAGAAATAAAACCAAATAATAAATTTAGAACACTACATTCACAGAAAATCTCTAACTTGGAACTTATTACTAAAAATGAAATAATAGCAAATAGTCTGGTACAACTACCAAAGATATTCATTTAACTCTTCTCATCTGTGAAGTGAGAATAAGAGTAACATTCACTTCACAGGTTTGTTCTGATTAAATGAATTAATAAAACAATGGAATAGTAAGTGCTTTATAAATTTTGGTTCTTATTTTAATAGAAGGCATTGCTCTTCCTCCTCCAAATGAAACAAGTCAAAAAGAAAAAGTATCCAGGGGCGCCTGGGTGACTCAGTCGGTTAAGCCTCTGACTTTGGCTGGGGTCCTGATCTGGGCTCCTAGCTCAGCGGGAAGTCTGCTTGTCCCTCTCCCTCCGTCCCTCCCCCGGCTCACGCTCACGCTCACTCTCTCAAATAAATAAAATCTGAGAAAAGAAAAAAATCCAATCCCGTGGATATCAATGATATAGTTTCCCTTGTGGCTTAAAAAAAAACTATGGGGGGGAGGGTGCTGTGCATCAGCCGCAACTTTAAAGATAAAAGTACTCATCTAGTAGAAGTACCAATTAAATTGCTCCAGGGAAGACTTAAAATTCGTCCAGCAGAGCTAAAAGGGAAAAGAAAGTGAAGCTTCCTACATTTACTTCCGCCAATTCTGTCATTATACCGCACAGCAGTATTAAGAAAAACAAAATACTACATCCCTCTTGGTTTACCACCTAACCCCAACCTGTCATTAATTTAGACATTAGTCAAAACCTCAAAACTCTTCCTTCTGCTCCGTAAAATTCAGGAAGGGCGAATACGAGCAAAAAGAAAGGATACGGAGATGCCATAGCCACATTCATAGTTTACATCGCGACCAGAGAATAACCCAGTTTAAAGCACAGGCTTGCGCGAAACCAGTCATTCCCAAAAACCCACAGGGACGGGTCCTGCTGTTGATTCGCTTCACAAAAAGCCATCGTCATGTTTTACGGACGGCCAAAGCCACAAAGGTGACCTACGCTTCCGAACTTTTTAACACTGCAGTCAAATGACTCGGCATCTTGAACGAACGTGTTTTCAGAGTCCCGGAGAGCAGAGGTCTGTCCCTGGAAGTACAGACCCTGTCCTCCCGCGGGGGCAGGCGGCGCTCGGCCCGGGGCTGGCAGCCCGGGGAGGGGAGAGTCTGCGGCGGGGCAGCCGCCGCCGGGACGGCCGGGCGGGAAGGACCACAGCTCCCGCTGCGACTCCCTCCCGGGAGCTTCCCGCCAGCCCGCCCCACGCGGCCGCGGAGAGGACCTGTGGAAGCTATGCACCCGAGACGTCCCACCCACCAAACTCCGACTTGGAGACAGCGACGTCCGCGGCCCCTTCTCGCCCGGCGCGCCCCCCGCCGCGGCCGCTCCCCGCCCCTTCCCGGCGGACCGCCGCCGGCCGACTCACCCCGGGACTGGCGTCGCAGGAGCCCGGCGCACCGGGCGCTCTCTCGGCCGCAGCGCCTCTCGCGACCTCCCGGAACGCGTGGGCGACTACGGAAAGCCAGAGGAGTCAGCCCGCCTCCGTTTCCCGGTTCGCGGGCCCCGGGGGCGTGGCCGGCGGCCCCGCCTCTGGGTGCGGGGCGTGCTCGCGGCGCTGCGGGCGCGCGGCCCGGCGAGCTCCCGGCCGCCCCCGCGCTGGGCTTTCGGCACAGCCTCCGGGGATTGGACCGCGACCTGCTTGCCGCGGGACAGACGGAGGGGATGCACGGCAGAGGGTGTTTTAAAGAATTCCTGAGCGCGTCCGCCTGCCTCTACCCGGTGGTCGGGGTGGGAGTGAGCGGAAATGGGCTGGAAAGGAGAAAACTGATGCTCCCTCGGCCCTCGCAGGTGTCCCAGCCTCTGCCTCGGGTCAGTCCAGATGGTGCTGTGAGTGATAACCCGACTTGGAGACGCCCCTCTTGGCCAGTGCACACCCTGGGTGTCAGGAGTGGTGGAGAAGTGGGTTCGCTACGGCGGCCCCGCGCCCAGCCCGAAGCGCCGCGTCTGGCTACTCTAAGCTTGGACTTGCAGCCTCTGTGGATGACTCGCCAAGTCCTTTACGTGTTGGTTTTCTAAGATACACGCCTCCCTAGGGAAAAAAAAAAATGCCAGCAGAATGGGGCACAGTTACGAGCAGACTTAGATATTCAGTGAATAACTGATTTCTCAGCGCAGTTTTCACTACTCTTGCTTCACCCACACTGGCCGCTCGTTTGCCATAAAAACAGAGACATGTAAATAAAGTTATGTAAGCTACCCAAAACAGCTGGCTGCTCGCCATCTGTTTTCTGTTCGGCACCGCAAAGACCTCATGTTCCTACGTGTCTCTACTTGATTTTTATCCACGTTCGTTTTGAAAGACCTGTTTTTGGTGTCGCCACTTTGGGCCTTCTTCTCGGTGGCTTCGGCTTTTATTGTTTTTGTAATTGAGGGATTCATTACAAATCCCATACCAGTGAACTCACGTTCCGATTTACTGTTACTTTTCTCTCTTTCTCCTATTCATTTTCCAAGTTTGATTCACTCTTCAGGAGCCAAGGTAAATAGCTGCATTTAACCCATGACATGCACTGCCTTGGATTTGTACTTATCCTTCTGTGCGTTGTGTTTTATCCGACTCGATTTTAAATCGAAAAGAGGAACTTGTCTTACATGCTCCCCACGCTCACTGTGATGCTTCTCATGAAGTAGGCACTAAATGGTAGGTTGAAATAATAGGTTATTGATGAGGTGAGGAGCAATTAAATGTCTACACAATTTTGCCTGGGTTTAGTACCTCTCCTTTGCAAAATAAGTTGAAATCAATACACAGCAGTTCTCTATTTCTTTGTTAAGTGGTATTTAGGTGCAAATGTGGCAAAGTAAAACAGCCTGAAATCCAGTGTTGGTGAAGTAATTCTGGATTAAAATGTCCACAAAGCCAGAGAACCTGTTCTTAGAAATAACCCATTCATTAGTCCCTGTTTTGTTCAATGAGCTCAGTATGTTTTTATATCATTTAAAATCTACATATATATGCTGAATGCCTACCGTGACAAGGTACAGTGATAAGGAATATAAGTATACTAAAAGGTTTTTGTAGTATTTGCCTGATGGAACCCTTCTAGATGCAGAGAAGAGACAAAAAAAAAGGAAGTCCCATATCTCTTAATTGGATTATTGCAAAAGCCTCCTAATTGGTTCCCCTGCTTTTTGCTCTTGCTCCCCTCCAATCTGATGTCAACATAGCAACCAGAAAGATCACGACAAAACATAATTCAAACAATGTTACTACTCTGCTAAAATTTTCCACAGCTGTTGTTCATTCTTTGGGTAGATATTGGAGTCCTTACAAGATCAGCCCACCACCCACATTACACTCTCACTTCTTTTCCTACTACATTCTTCCAGCAAGCATACTGGCCTTCTTGGCATTCCTAGGGCCTGTTTGGCACACTGCCCCCTCAGAACCTTTGCATTTGACAACCTTTTCCTCATTAAAGTCTACTCAAACATCAATTTTCAGTGAGCACTTTCCTGACCACCATATTTAAAATCTCAAACACCCTCCCAAAACACACACAAAATCCCTATCACTTTTCCTTGCTTTATTTTTCTCTAGCACTTACCATATTCTAATACGCTATATAATTTACCTTTTTATTTTATATGACTTCACCCACCAAATGATAAGCTTCATGAGGACAGGGAGTTTTCACTATTCTTGCTTCAGTGGGGTTTACATTCCAGCGGGGGTCACAGATAGTGAGGAGTTTCAGAAAAGAATAGAAAAGGATAATGTAATTGGGAGCCGTTGGGTGAGTGCTTTAATTGGGTGCCAGGGAAATCCTTTGCAAAGAGGTGATGTTTAAACTGCTGGTGAATGAAAGAGGCAGCCAAGTGAAGATGTTGGGTAAGAGCATTCTAGGCAGAGGGAACAGCTAATGGAAGATCCCTATGGTTCTTGAGAAATGCATTTTAATGTGTTCAGGAATAGAGAGGTCACAAGCATGGCTGAAACATAGTAAAGGAGACAATGATGTGAGATGAAATCATAGAATTTGATGAGGTCACCTACGAGAGTAGATAGATGGAGAATTTGACCTAGGACCGAGCCCTGGGGAGATAAGTCAAGAAAAGAAAAGTCAATGAAAGAGACTGAGAAGAGGCAGCCATGGAGACCTGCTGGGAGTGGTGTTCTGGAAGCCAAAGAAAGAAAGGTTTTTGGTTTTTTGTGGTTTTTTTTAGAGATCTTATTTATTTGACAGAGGGATAGAGAGAGAGCACAAGTAGGCAGAGTGGCAGGCAGAGGGAGAGGGAGAAGCAGACTCCCCGCTAAGCAGAGAGCCCAATGCAGGACTCGATCCCAGGACCCTGGGATCATGACCTGAGTCAAAGGCAGCCACTTAACTGACTGAGCCACCCAGGTGCCCCCCGAAAGAAAGTGTTTTAAGAGAGAACAAGCCAGTTGGTGCCACATGCTGCTGAGAACATAGAAGTGACCAATGGATTTAGCAACATGGAGGTCATCAGTGACTCGCTCTGAAGTGGGCTGAGAAATGTGAGGGGAAGAAGTGGCAAAAATCAGAACTATCAATATTTTAAGAAGTTTCGCTGTAAAGAACAGAGCAACTGTTGTAGCTAAGGAAGTAGTGGGATAAAAAGATTTTGATTTTGTTTTGTTTCTGTTTTTGTTTGTTTTTAAAAAGAGAGGATACTGGGGCACCTGGGTGGCTCAGTCGGTTAGGCAACCCACTCTTGATTTCGGTTCAGGTCATGATCTCAGGGTCATCGGGTCTAGCCCTCAAGCAATCAGCGTGGAGTCTGCTTGTCCCTCTCCCACCCCCTGACCCTCCCTCCCACTCTCCCACCCAAATTTACCCCCTACCCTACCCTACCCTTCCACCCCCCACCTCATACACATGTGCTCTCACTCTCAAATAAATAAATTAATTAAATCTTTAAAAAAAGAGAGAAGTTACTACAGTGGTGCCTTGTAGACTTTCAACAAGTAACCCACAGTAACAACTACATTTACATTGTGAATTGTTGCATACATATTTAAAATTATGAAAACAAAAACTTTGCAAAACAATACTCTTGCATTCTAATTTTTCATTTTAAAAAAATGCTGCTTATAACCCACTAAAATGTTTGCAAGACCCATTAGTGGGTTGTAAACTGAGCCTTGAAGAACATTTTCAGGGGTGTATGGGAGCTGGCTCACACTGGCTTGCGAGAGCCAATTTGTGCATCGCTTCCATGTTGGTATCTTGAAATTGTTCAGGAATGGAAGTTTTTACCCCACAGGCATAGACAACCACTATAACCTAAGGCTTTCCCCCCACTCACCCAGTCTCCAAAGCTGGATATTAAACATTTGCCACCACATTACTGACTGTAATTCTATGCATGATCCAGTAGAACAGAGAACTCTAATGATGTAGGAGAAAGGGGATGGTTACAAGAGTGGTTCTTTAGATGATTTTGCCCAAAAAACACCATAATACACACTCAGAAATCAGTTCAAAACAGTAACATAGATGTTACAAATTATTCGCAGACAGTTGCCTTAGACTTCCAAAGCTGACGGGATCATCTCTAGTTGGATCAATTTCTTTTCATCACTTTATTGTCCTCTTTCCTTACCCAAGAAGACACACATATATAGTAAGTGTGGCTGCCAATTTAGAAATAGTATGATATAAAAATAGTGTCTTATAAGCAAAATGTGAACTAATGTATATTGCCCCAATTTTTTAAAAAGTAATAAAAAATTATTTTGGATTTATGAATTGAAACTCTGTATGCTCTTGCTACTTGGTAGGATTACCACCTTAAAAAGAAATACCTGCCAGGGGCGCCTGGGTGGCTCAGTCGGTTAAGCGACTGCCTTTGGCTCGGGTCGTGATCCTGGAGTCCCAGGATCGAGTCCCGCATCGGGCTCCCTGCTCAGCGAGGAGCCTGCTTCTCCCTCTGACCCTCCTCCCTCTCGTGCTCTCTGTCTCTCATTCTCTCTCGCAAATAAATAAATAAATAAAATCTTTAAAAAAAAAAAAAAGAAAAGAAAAGAAATACCTGCCATAGTTTGTTAATGATGTGATTGTGTTGTTTAAAGGTAGGAAGCACTTCTGGTGGTGATTTTGCTTGTTATTGTGTTGCCGTGTTTTTATTATTATAATTAAATT